ATTCCCATACTTCACATGTAAAGGCAACTTCACTTCTTTAATATTAATGAAAAATAAAGTGACTCTTACAATACATTTTGTTTGTTTCTATACTCACTATTATTACAATCCACTCAGTTTATTTTATTAAAGATTCCACTAGGTGGCGACAAATAATATTGTTGACTGAAACGTGCTTACGTATGATGACGTAAGCACGTTAGTGCGAGCCCTCCCGGAAGCCATAGAATGCATTGCAGCGCCCGCCGTTCGAAAAAAAACATCTTTGAATGTAAGTCTATGGGAACACTCTGGGCGATTCTCAGCCGGAGTGAAATCGCCAAAAAAGAGGCGGTACTCCACAGAACGTGACATGACGCTGATTGGACTATATCCAGAGGCACAGTGACGGCTAGCGTAACTCTGTGGTTGAAAGACATTGGTGGTGCGTCGCCCAATCGCCCTAATGAAGAAACCGCCCCTGCTCTTTCGGTAAATTCAGGTAGGTATAAAATAAAATAAATCACGACGTTTCGGGCGCAACACAAGCGACCGTCACCAGGTGGGACAACCACAGCAAGAAACAATTGGTGAAGTGGGCAAAAGGGCTGCTGGAACACGTACACCAGGCCCTCAAGATGAATGGGTACTCGGACCGCATTATTCGCAAAGCTGTTTCTCCAACCATGGAGAAACAACCCCCTGAGACGCCGATCAAAACCATCACGTTACCATACATAGCAGGCGTTACCAAAAATATTTCCAAGATCTTAAACAAACGCAAGATCCAGGTCCGATTCAGTACAGTACACAACATACGTGATCTAATCCCATCGGTGAAGGATGTCATTCCTGACATGCAGTATCCTGGAGTCTACAAACTAAGTTGCACCTGTGGTGGCTGTTGCATTGGGGAAACGAAACGGCATGTGTCGGACCGTGTTCGCGAGCACAAGGCAGATCTGAAACACGGCAGAACTAATTCCTCCGTCGTGGCTGACCATTGCTATAACGCTGTGAGCTCTCATGATATTTTTTTTCCGAGACCAAGGTACTCTGAAAACCTTCGGGCTACGATCAAAGGTTTGTTCATGAAGCCATGCAGATATCTAAACATAGACATAACTTCAACCGGGAAGATGGATACAAATTGAGCAATCATTGGAAGGATGTTATTAACCAGGTCAAACCTTAACTGCTTCATGGTGTTGCCTTCATATCCGCATCTCCAGTTTCTTCAGCTTCCCACTCCCAGCCCCGCTAACCCCCCCCCCCCCCGGCATTTCCTTGTTCGTTTCTTAATCCCTCTAGCGGCACTCCACTCACCCTACCCCCCACCCCCTCCCTGTCTCTCCTCCTTGGCTCCTCCCCCGTCTCTTACCTATGTAGAGGAGTAAAATGGGGACGTGACGTCAGGTGTGCCGTTCAGTGCGATGACATCACGTCTCCCGGGGTACTTAAGAGATACCCCGTGACGTGGGCGGGGTCACTGTGGGAACGGGTAGAGTAAGCAGAGTGAAGAGGGAACCAGGGGTAGAGAGAGGGATCGAATGGTGAGCCTGGAGAGAAGCCGGTGGTAGCCGTAGAGGTGCTTCTCTCTCCAGTCGGTGGAGTCGGCAGAGTCCCTGATCTGACACGAGAGAGAGAGACCGGAGCTCGCCGGCAGGGACCCAGACTCAGAGTAGGACCCCCCTAGCCCCTGGGAGTTGTGTACCCTGCTGTGTAATATAGATAAGCTTTAATAAACCCTGGGAGTTGTGCACCCTGCTGCGTGTGTATTGTAACAGCTTTAATAAACCCTGGCGGAAGCCCCTAACTTACCTCCGTCTCCGAGTACGTCCGTCGGAACTACTCAACACCTATATAGCCTCTTGTCACGGCAACCCTTTTGCCCACTTCAGCAATTGTTTCTTGCTGTGGTTTTCCCACCTGGTGACGGACGTTTGTGTGTTGCGCCCGAAACGTCGTGATTTTATTAATTATATACCGACGTGACTCTACCGAAAGAACCAAAGAGTATGGATCCCTGCAGTCACGGAAACTTCCAATCGAGGTCTAAGGCTACATGGGTGGTTTTGTCTGTGTCCTGCAGGTGCTCCCCTGTGGCCCCGTGAACAGCTGGAACCCGTCATGGCCACCGAGGGCCTGCCGGCCGTGCTGCGCTGCCGCCCTCCCCAAGGCTTTCCTCCTCCCATCGTCTTCTGGATGGACGGCTGTGAGTACCACGGTGGCTGTGAGATGTTGACTACCTCGCCTGATGCACAGGAAGTTGTGGGTTCGATCCCGACCCAGACGACGCCTGCTGCTGTATATTTGTAGTTTGCGTGTCTCTCTCTCATCATCATCACGGTGGCTGTGAGATGTTGACTACCTCGCCTGATGCACAGGAAGTTGTGGGTTCGATCCCGACCCAGACGACGCCTGCTGCTGTATATTTGTAGTTTGCGTGTCTCTCTCTCATCATCATCACGGTGGCTGTGAGATGTTGACTACCTCGCCTGATACACAGGAAGTTGTGGGTTCGATCCCGACCCAGACGACGCCTGCTGCTGTATATTTGTAGTTTGCGTGTCTCTCTCTCATCATCATCACGGTGGCTGTGAGATGTTGACTTACCCTCGCCTGATACACAGGAAGTTGTGGGTTCGAATCCCGACCCAGACGACGCCTGCTGCTGTATATTTGTAGTTTGCGTGTCTCTCTCTCATCATCATCACGGTGGCTGTGAGATGTTGACTACCTCGCCTGATACACAGGAAGACGCCTGTTGATATATCTTTTTACTCTTTTGTTCTTGCGGTAAAGTCACGTGGTATAAAATAAAATGAATCACGACGTTTCGATCGCAACACAAGCGGTCGTCCTCAAGCGGAAAAAATATAACCCGGCAGTGGAACTGCTGAACCAGCGAGAGAGCTGTTACAACAAGAGGTTATATATGTGGCGATGGGCAAGCAAGCGGGGTCTGAGCTGGAAAGGATTCCACCCCCGGACGCAAGCACGTCAGTTGTATTAATGGGGGAGATTAGGGAAAGAGGGATTAGGGAGAGAGAGATTAGCATGAATGAGCTTCCATCGCCGCAAAAGAGTAGCATGCCCTCATATGCGCACAACAGCTGTGTTGAGAGATTAGCACCATGAGAGTGCACTCCAAAGGGCATGCGAGACTGACAGTGCAATCCAAAGGACATGTGAGAGGTCTAAGAGAGAGGCATAGAGAGAGAGAGAGACACAGAGTCAGTAATAACAGCTGACATAGGCAGGTAGGATGGAAACATCACAGTCAGTTAAGACTTTACCTGGTTAATAACATCCTTCCAATGATTGCTCAATTTGTACCCATATTCTCGGCTGAAGTTGTGTCTGTGTTTATATTTCTGAATGGCTTCATGAACAAATCTCTGAACGTAGCCGGTAGGTTTGCAGAGTACCTCCGTCTTGGAAAAATCAATTTTGCGTGAGCCCACTGCGTTAAAACAATGATCAGCAACGGCAGATGTATTGGTCCTACCGTGTTTCAGATCCGCCTTGTGTTCATGAACGCGGTCCGAGACATGCCGTTTCGTTTCCCAAATGTTACTGCTGCCACAACCACAACTCGGTTTGTAGACACCAGGGTACTGCATGGGAGGAATCATTTACAGATGGGATTAAATCACGGATTTTGTGTACTGTGTTTAAACGAACCTGGATCTTGTGTTTGTTTAATATATTGGAAATCTTTTTGGTAACCCCTAGCGCCTGCTGCTGTATATTTTGAGTTTGCGTGTCTCTCTCTCTCATCATCATCACGGTGGCTAGGAGATGTTAACTACCTCGCCTGGTACGCAGGAGGTCGTGGGTTCCATCCCGACCCTGACGCCTGCTGCTGTAGATTTGGAGTTTGCGTGTCTCTCTCTCTCATCATCACGGTGGCTAGCAGATGTTGACTACCTCGCCTGGTACGCAGGAGGTCTTCTTTTGTACAACTGCTGATGTAGATGCAGAGACAATGACTACAATTTCACAATGAGGTGGGCAAGCCAGGCAAGCGAAGCGGAGTGCATCATTGCCGCGATGTCTCCGTCCTATTTGTGGACCGGAAGCAGTGCGGCGTTGTCCGTTGTACGCTGTCTCTTCTGGGTGACCACATTTGCACCACTTTTGCAGGCATCCTCCACATCTGCCGCTGCTTCCATGATTTGCATGGCGGATGATGATGAAGACACAAGTAGTACTAATCACATACCTGCATTTCCCATATCCCCTCCCTTTAATGCTGCTAATCCTGCACAATGCACGGGCATAAGTAGTACTAATCACATACCTGCATTTCCCATATCCCCTCCCTTTAATGCTGCTAATCCTGCACAATGCACGGGCATAAGTAGTACTAATCACATACCTGCATTTCCCATATCCCCTCCCTTTAATGCTGCTAATCCTGCATAATGCACGGGCACAAGTAGTACTAATCACATACCTGCATTTCCCATATCCCTTCCCTTTGATGCTGCTAATCCTGCATAATGCACGGGCATAAGTAGTACTAATCACATTCCTGCATTTCCCATAAATATGCTAAATTCCTCTTGATATGCAAATTCCTTTGTCAAGGCGCCCAGCTTATATACACGCTCCAAGCACGTGTGCTGTTCATTCAGACGCTGTCTCCCCGACAGACCTGTTCTTCACCTGAGGATGGCTGCTTGCGTTGTGGCCGAAACGTCGTGAGAATTATTTTATTATTTTTATTTTTATTATTTTATTACTTCCCTTCTACGTGACGACTTTACCGAAAGAACCAAGAAGATGAATCCCTGCAGTCACGAAAGAAGCTTTAAATCGAAACGTAATTTTTTTGTTATTTTTATTATTTTATTACTTCCATTCTACGTGACGACTTTACCGAAAGAACCAACAAGATGAAAGTGTAGCTGGCGGTGTCTCGCACGCGATTGAAGTGTGTAAAGTAGAACGCACGCAGCTCTGAGTGAGGGCTACACGCTCGATGTCGATGCCATTAACAGCTTCGTGCGGGTCGCGATCTCAGGCCACCCCTAGACCGGGTCGCGAGGCTACTTGCAAACGAATTGATCGACGGTCCACGGGCAAAGCTTGCACTTGACGTTCCGCTTAAGCTGCTCCTTGCACCCGCACTGCATCTGCAGCGTGACTGGGGAGGGAACAGCAGAGGGGAGAGCGCTCACGAGGTCAGTTGAACACGTCGGAGGCTTTCGCGACCAGTATTATTCACAATCAACGTTGTTGGGTTTAGATGGCGTTGTTTATACTGGTAGGAACGAAGTGGACCAGCCTACAATAGATTATATCGTCCGTCCGTCCGTCCGTCTGACCGTGTAGCAACATCGCCCCCTACTGCAAACACTTGGCAGGACCCGACAAAAACCTTTAGACTCAGTGAGGCTTTCCTGGCTAAACAAGTGTAACATTCCCTTATAATTCCCTGAGATAGTTTTAATTAAAACATTTAAATAAAAAATTAACTCACAGCGGCGTAAAGCCTACAGCTAGGCCTAAAGCCTAGAACTAGGCCTCAAACTCTCCCTTCGTATCGTCCGATTAGGTGCAGCAACATCGCCCCCTACTGCAAACACTTGGCAGGACCCTACAAAAACCTTTAAGACTCAGTGAGGCTTTCCTGGCTAAACAAGTGTAACAATACATTATGTTTATATTCTTTGGTTACTCGTTCCTAACAGCCCACCACGCAGGGTCCTGTTAAATGTGTCGTGACCCTCCACCACCCGACACGGCCAATCGGTTAAAAAAGTGTCACGTTGACAAAAGACAAAATAGTTCGCTGCTTTAGCCCCCACGCCGGTGTGTTGTTGAAGCGTGAAGCCACAACTTTTACAATTGTTGAGTAGCACTACGACATTTTGCTGGTAATTGCGTCCAGCATCGTCGGGCAATTCGCCAGAACGGTGAGGGGCTCTGCTGTGTCGCTATTGCGCTATTGCGCGACCGCCGTTGACGTCGAAGATGAACAACATCTCCGCGCACTTCTCCCCGACGTTGTGAAATGCATCATGTAATTGCGTGGTGTACGGTACAGTGTAGTAGTGCCTTGTCTAAAGGTGTCAGCTGTTGCACCAGTTGCAAGAGTAAAAACCTACCACTATATTTTGCCACTAGCTAAAGGAAATGTCTCATAGTGTAATGATGCCTTGTATAAAGGTGTCAGTTGTTGTACCAGTTGAAAGGGTAAAACACATCACTACATTTTGCCACTAGCTAAAGTAGATGTCTCATTGTGAATAGTTTTAGTCTATTTTCGGGGTGGTGGGTGGGGTGGTGGGTGAGGTGGTGGGTGGGGTGGCGGGTGGGGTGGCGGGTGGGTGGCGGGTGGGGTGGCGGGTGGGGTGGCGGGTGGGGTGGCGGGTGGGGTGGCGGGTGGGGTGGCGGGTGGGGTGGCGGGTGGGGTGGCGGGTGGGGTGGCGGGTGGGGTGGCGGGTGGGGTGGCGGGGGGGGGGGCGGGTGGGGTGGCGGGTGGGGGTGGCGGGTGGGGTGGCGGGTGGGGTGGCGGGTGGGGTGGCGGGTGGGGTGGCGGGTGGGGTGGCGTGGTGGGTGGGGTGGTGGGGCACCTTGCGAGATGTCGTATCCCGTGTCGCAGCACGCGGCGTTGATGTCGGAGCATCGCTCGTTTGCCTCGGAGGTGTCGTTGCAGCGCCGCCTCGCCGGAGCTCCGCCGGGAGCGCCGCGGACGCAGTACTCCGGGCTGGCCTCCACGTGCACCAGCTCGCTCGCTCCGGGCGCCGGCAGCCACTCGTTCACCGGCTGCAGGCGCCAGCGCGCGACGTCGCTGCTGCTGCTGTTGCTCCTCACCAGCCGCATGGCGGAACTTACGTTGTACTTTTCCTGCAGAGATCGTTGACATCGTCGTCGTCGTCATCATCGTCGTCATCATCGTCATCATCGTCGTCGTCGTCATTGTCATCATCGTCGTCATCGTCGTCATCATCGTCATCATCGTCGTCGTCGTCATCATCGTCATCGTCGTCATCATCATCATCGTCGTCATCGTCGTCGTCATCGTCGTCGTTATCGTCGTCGTTATCGTCGTCGTTATCGTCGTCGTTATCATCGTCATCATCATCGTCATCATCATCATCGTCATCGTCGTCGTCATCATCGTCGTCGTCATCGTCATCGTCGTCATCATCGTCATCATCGTCGTCGTCATCATCATCGTCATCATCGTCGTCGTTATCGTCGTCGTTATCATCGTCATCATCATCGTCATCATCATCATCGTCATCATCGTCATCGTCGTCATCATCATCATCATCGTCATCATCATCATCATCATCGTCGTCGTCGTCGTCGTCATCATCGTCATCATCGTCATCGTCGTCATCATCGTCGTCATCATCATCGTCATCATCGTCGTCGTCATCATCATCATCGTCATCATCATCATCGTCATCATCATCATCGTCATCGTCGTCATCATCATCGTCATCATCATCATCGTCGTCGTCGTCATCATCGTCATCATCGTCGTCGTCATCATCGTCATCGTCGTCATCATCGTCGTCATCATCGTCGTCATCGTCGTCGTTATCGTCGTCGTTATCATCGTCATCATCATCGTCATCATCATCGTCATCATCGTCATCGTCGTCATCATCGTCGTCATCATCATCGTCGTCATCATCATCATCATCATCATCGTCGTCATCATCGTCATCATCGTCATCATCATCGTCATCGTCATCATCATTGTCATCATCATCATCGTCGTCATCGTCATCATCATCATCGTCATCATCGTCATCATCATCGTCATCATCGTCATCATCATCGTCATCATCATCATCATCGTCATCATCATCGTCATCATCGTCATCATCATCGTCATCATCATCATCATCGTCATCAGTGGTGGTGGTCGAGTGAATGCGGTGGAATGCTGTTAGGGACCCCCCTCCCCCCCCCCCCCCGTTTGTACCCTGCTGTGGATTTACACCTTGAGACGTCTCCTTTAGCAGTGGCAAAATATAGTAGTAGGTTTTTATTTTTTATGTTTTTTTATGTTTCGATTTAAAGCTTCTTTCGTGACTGCTGCAGGGATTCATCTTCTTGGTTCTTTCGGTAAAGTCACCACGTAGAAGGGAAGTAATAGAATAATAAAAATAAAACATAATACCCTTTAAACTGGTACAACAACTGACACCTTTACACAAGGCATCACGTTTGCCTTGTATAAAGGTGTCAGTTTTGTACCAGTTTCAAGGTTAAAAAACCTAATTCTAGATTTGAAGCTTTCGTGACTGCAAGGATTCATATTCTTAGGTTTTTTCGGTAAAGTCACCGTGTAGGTAAAACATTAAAATTAATAAAAGTAAAATAAAATAAAAATCACGACGTTTCGGAGGCAACACAAGCTTCCGTCTTCAGGTGGAACCGTCACAGCCACGACAGCCGTATCAAGTAAAGACCTACTACTATACTCCTGTGGATGAATCCCCGTCGCTCACCCACCCACCCACTCACCCACTCACCCACCCACCCACTCACCCACTCATTCACTCACCCACTCACTCACCCACTCACCCACTCACTCACCCACCCACTCACCCACTCACTCACTCACTCACCCACCCACTCACTCACCCACCCACTCACTCACTCACTCACCCACCCACTCACCCACTCACTCACCCACTCACTCCCCCACCCACTCACCCACCCACTCACCCACTCACTCACTCACCCACCCACTCACTCACCCACTCACTCACTCACCCACCCACTCACTCATTCACTCACCCACCCACCCACCCACTCACTCACTCACCCACCCACTCACTCACTCACTCACCCACCCACCCACTCACTCACCCACTCACACCTCACCACCCACCCACTCACCCACCCACCCACTCACTCACTCACCCACTCACCCACTCACTCACACACTCACCCACCCACCCACTCACCCACTCACTCACCCACTCACACACTCACCCACTCACACACTCACCCACCCACCCACCCACTCACTCACCCACTCACCCACCCACCCACCCACTCACTCACTCACCCACCCACTCACTTACTCACTCACCCACCCACTCACTCACCCACCCACTCACTCACTCACTCACCCACTCACTCACTCACCCACTCACTCACTCACTCACCCACTCACACCACCCACCCACCCACTCACCCACCCACCCACTCACCCACTCACTCACCCCACTCACTCACTCACTCACCCACCCACTCACTCACTCACCCACCCACCCAACCACTCACTCGCCCACTCACACACTCATCCACCCATTCACTCACCCACCTACTCACCCACCCACTCACTCACCCACTCACACACTCACCCACTCACTCACCCACTCACTCACTCACTCACCCACCCACCCACCCACCCACTCACTCACCCACTCACTCACCCACTCACTCACTCACCCACTCACTCACTCACTCACCCACTCACCCACTCACTCACTCACTCACCCACCCACTCACTCACCCACCCACCCACCCACTCACTCACCCACTCACACACTCACCCACCCACCTCACTCACCCACCGACTCACTCACCCACTCACTCACCCAGTCACCCACCCACTCACCCACTCACCCACTCACTCACCCACCCACTCACTCACCCACCCACCCACTCATCCACCCATTCACTCACCCACCTACCCACCCAACCACTCACTCACCCACTCACACACTCATCCACCCATTCACTCACCCACCCACTCACCCACCCACCCACTCACCCACCCACCCACCCACTCACCCACTCACCCACTCACTCACCCACTCACTCACTCACTCACCCACCCACTCACTCACCCACCCACCCACCCACTCACTCACCCACTCACACACTCACCCACCCACTCACTCACCCACCCACTCACTCACCCACTCACTCACTCACTCACACACTCACCCACCCACCCACCCACCCACTCACTCACCCACTCACTCACTCACTCACCCACTCACTCACTCACTCACCCACTCACTCACTCACTCACCCACTCACCCACCCACCCACGCTTCGTGTCTCATCCCCGGCAGCCGTGCGCTCACCTTCAGAAAGTCGCCGACGCTGCGAAAGTCTTGGAGCCGCGGCAAGCAGACGCCGACACATTCGCCGGTTCTCTCGGCGCAACCGCATTTGAAGTACGACAGGTCTTCCACCGCCTGTAGCACCACCACCACCACCGTCACCACCGTCATTGTCACCACCACCAACACCACCACCACCACCGTCATTGTTACCACCACAATCATTGTCACCACCAACACCACCACCACCACCGTCACCACCGTCATTGTTACCACCACAATCATTGTCACCACCACCACCAACACCACCACCGTCACCACCTTCATTGTTACCACCACAATCATTGTCACCACCACCACCACCGTCACCGTCATTGTTACCCCCACAATCATTGTCACCACCACCACCACCGTCACCACCACCGTCACCGTCATTGTTACCACCACAATCACTGTCACCACCACCACCGTCACCACCGTCACCATCATTGTTACCACCACAATCATTGTCACCACCAACACCACCACCACCACCACCGTCATTGTTACCCCCCACAATCATTGTCACCACCACCACCACCGTCACCACCACCACCACCACCGTCATTGTTACCACCACAATCATTGTCACCACCACCACCACCAACGCCACCACCACCACCACCACCACCACCGTCACCACCACCACCACCACCGTCATTGTTACCACCACAATCATTGTCACCACCAACACCACCACTGTCACCGTCATTGTTACCACCACAATCATTGTCACCACCAACACCACCACCACCACCGTCACCACCGTCATTGTTACCACCACAATCATTGTCACCACCAACACCACCGTCACCGTCATTGTTACCACCACAATCATTGTCACCACCAACACCACCACCACCGTCACCGTCATTGTTACCACCACAATCATTGTCACCACGAACACCACCACCGCCACACCACCGTCACCACCGTCACCACCGTCATTGTTACCACCACAATCATTGTCACCACCACCAACACCACCACCACCACCGTCACCACCGTCATTGTTACCACCACAATCATTGTCACCACCACCACCACCGTCATTGTTACCACCACAATCATGTCACCACCACCAACACCACCACCACCACCACCACCGTCACCGTCATTGTTACCACCACAATCATTGTCACCACCACCACCGTCACCGTCATTGTTACCACCACAATCATTGTCACCACCAACACCATCGTCATGTCACTGCCAATCGCCATTCGCCAATAAGTGGCGGTGATGTCACCACGACGGAGCTTGTGCCAGGCTGTGTGCACGTGAAGCGTCGGCAGAAGGTCACGGGGCAGACCCAGCAGGTGCCACGGGTCGACTGACCGAGATGACCGAGATGACTGGCTGATGCACCACCTGTGCCCCCTACTGTGCCAACTTGCTGTGCTTTAGCCACCCGGCGCTCCGCTCGTTGTTGTGAGCGTCGCTCCTCCGCCCTCCGTTGTTGTTGGAGGGCGACTGCCTCCGACTGCCCAGTAGCGTCCTTCACGAGCCTCCTCCACAGAGGCCGATCTTGACACCGCTGGTACCGGTCATCGGCAAGTCCACTCAGCTCCACGTCCTCCTGTACCACATCACTTCATGTCTTCTCTAGCCCGTGCCGCGCCCTTTAAGCACCCCCGATCCGTTCGAACCTCCTTTGCCAGTAGCAAAATATAATTGTTTTTTTACCATTTTATCTGGCAACTGGCAAATGAGGTTGCAATGGTGTAAATGCTTACCCCGAGCTCTGATACTCTGATGGTGCATTGTCTTTGAGTTGTGCGCCTTTTGGCGTCGTCTGGTCCAACACCATGTGAGACTAGGCTCTAAGAAAAGCTGTCTTGGGTGTGGGACACAAATCAATGTCAAGGACAGTGCATACATTATCAGAGTTGTGGTTTTTGTTTGCATTCCGACCGCAGGTATTGTGGTCCATGCAAACATGACTCCTTGTAAAAAAGGTGTCAGTTTTGTTTCCAGATAAAAGGGTAAAATAAATCAATTATCACCCTCTATCCGGCCAAACCAAAGCGGTTATAGGCATGCAGTGGCTGGGCATGTGGGCTACATGGCCCAGCCAACGCAGCCTTGCCTGCCGGAGGAGCTCAATGGGACTTTGTCAAGATCTTTCAAGGATTTGTGAGCTCCTCACACAATCCAGCCTGTTGGTTAAACTCAGAATGGATTGGAGGCAGGCCAGCCTGAAATATTTCTAAGCAGATAGGGGGGTGGGGGGGGGTCCATGTTTTGCAAGCGTAGAGGGCATGACCATGGCCAAGAAGACCCGAAGCTTTGTGTGGAGCAACAGACCAGGTAGCTTCCGCAAAGCATGGTGCAGTCGATGCAAAGATAATGCCACTCGATTGATTGAGAACTCTTCTGCCACAGAGCTGGTCATAGGCACACTGCCCAGCTACGGGAAACTCTCCACAACTGCCCCATCACCAATTGAGAGTTGTGGAGTGTCCGATGGTACAAAATACCCAGGCGGGTGCTTAGTTTTGGTGGGGCTGTAAGGGGGAGGCAAGGCCCCACCCTCTCAGTGGCACGCTCCAGTTTCAGCCAGCAGCATAAACGTGGTTGAGCAATACGGAGCCATCCCTTGACCGCAACCCGGGCAGGTGGCAAGATGCAGCAGCAGAACTGTTGAACAATACAACCCCTAAATTTCGATTTAAAGCTTCTTTCGTGACTGCAGGGATTCATCTTCTTGGTTATTTCGGTAAAGTCGTCACGTAGAAGGGAAGTAATAAAATAATACAAATAAAACACAATAAATAATTCTCACGACGTTTCGGCCACAACGCAAGCAGCCGTCCTCAGGTGGAGAACAGATCTGTCGGTAAAGTTACGAAGAATGGAAGTAATAAAATAATACAAATAAAACACAATAAAATAATTCTCACGACGTTTCGGCCACAACGCAAGCAGCCGTCCTCAGGTGGAGAACAGGTCTGTCGGTAAAGTTACGAAGAATGGAAGTAATAAAATAATACAAATAAAACACAATAAAATAATTCTCACGACGTTTCGGCCACAACGCAAGCAGCCGTCCTCAGGTGAACCCGGGTCCGTCGAGGCGACAGCGTCTGAAATACAACCCCTAGACAACCAAGCCCAACTATATACATGTGCAGCATTTCACAAAGGGGGTGATGTAATGAGAGCCTACGTCGGATTCACGTGGCGATCGGCTTTGCCGGTCCCGCTCTACAGCCAATGGGGGGAGAGCCTGGGAGCATGGCCCCGGCGTGATCACGGGATGTCAGCCAGGTGATTGGTTCTGCTGGTCTTGGCCTCAGCCAATGGGAAGACAAGTCGGGGCCTGGTCCCGGGAGTTGATGGGGGGGATCTGGAACATTCGGCGCAGGCTGTTGAGGATTGGCTGGAGGGTACCACGTGACCCAGGCGTTAAATAAGGAGAGAGAGGAGAGACACGGGGTCAGACACGGAACTAAGAGAGGGAGAGAGAGGGGGCCACGCGCGAGTGGGGCTCCGGGTGCCACGTGGCGGTGGGTCTCTGGTGTCTGTCTGCCCGCTTCCCGTTGCCTGCCAGCAACGGGGAGTGTTTGTGAGCTGCAAGAAGTGAAATAAAAGGACCGATTCCACAAGCCGTCTCCAGCGTGTTATTACAAAACGATACTTTTTCCCGTAACAGGACCCTGCGGGGTGGGCTGGTAGGAAACGAGTAACCAAAGAATATAAACATAATGTATTATTACACTTGTTTAGCCAGGAAAGCCTCACTGAGTGTAAAGGTTTTTGTAGGGTCCTGCCAAGGTGTTTGCAGTAGGGGGCGATGTTGCTACACCTAATCGGACGATACGAAGGGAGAGTTTGAGGCCTACTTCTAGGCTTTAGGCCTAGCTGTAGGCTTTAGGCCGCTGTGAGTTAATTTTAAATTTAAATGTTTAATTGTTAATGTAAAAGCTTTAAATGTAAATGTTTCTATTTAAAAACATCAGGGAATGTAACATTGTGAACATTAACTCCCTTTCACACACGCGGGGGTACGATACGAAGGGAGAGTTTGAGGCCTAGTTCTAGGCTTTAGGCCTAGCTGTAGGCTTTAGGCCGCTGTGAGTTAATTTTCCCGTAAAAAAACATTCCTCACGACAATCCCTACCGCCCGCTCGCTCACCCGCCGGCCCGCTTCGTTGTTGTGCAGTTCCATCAGGAGGAACTTCGACAAAGACTTGCGTCGCCCTCCTTGCCTCCAGCGGTCTTTGACGCCCGCGTCCAAGAACAACTTGGCGAAATGGCGTCCGTATTTGACGTTGTCTCCGGGAAGCAAACCAGGGTTGGTAGGTCCACGTGCAGTTTTGCCGGATCACCTCCGACGTGTTGCAGGCGCGCGCCACGGCGTGCACCACGCCGGCGGCGGTGAGGGCGGAGAAGAAGGCGGCCTCGCGAGAGCCTGCGCCCCCCCACCCCCCCCACCCACAAAACAATTTGATCATTTGTCTATAATGGAGGTTGTTTGTTTTTCTGGCGTAGATCGCCGAAATAGAAACGTCACCTCAACAACTCTTGGAACCTCCCAGTTCAACCAGTCTACACAACAAAGACTCATTCTTAGCAACGATTTCAGCCGCACCACCTCTACATAACAAAAGGCGCAGTCCCATTTACACGCATCTTTACATCAGCCGCACCTTAACAACTCTTGAAACCTCCCGGTTCAACCAGTCTACACAACAAAGACTCATTCCTAGCAACGATTTCAGCCGCACCACCTCTACATAACAAAAGGCTCAGTCCCATTCACAGCAGCCGCACCTTTACATCAGCCGCACCTTAAACACTCTTGGAACCCTCCCAGTTCAACCATTCTACACAACAAAGACTCATTCTTGGCAACGATTTCAGCCGCACCACTTTTACATAACAAAAGGCTCAGTCCCATTTAGACGCACCTTTAAAATCATCCGCACCTTAGTTTACACAACAAAGGCTCATTCCTAACAGCGTGCTTCAGCCGCACCGAACCTCACAACAATAATATTCAGGGCCTACCCTTAGCTCCTCCCACCCTCAACCAGTATATATACACAAGGACTGTGTTCTTGGAATTTCCCTCACTTGATACAGCTGTCGTGCTGTGACGGTTCCATCTGAACCTAACCCTAATCTAGATTTGAAGCTTTCGTGACTGCAAGGATTCATATTCTTAGGTTTTTTCGGTAAAGTCCACCAATGTAGGTAAACATTAAAAGTAATAAAAGTAAAATAAAATAAAAATCACGACGTTTGGAGGCAACACAAGTCTCCGTCACAGCCAGATTTGCTGCATCAAGTGAGGCAATCTTGAATCATTGCCTCACTTGATGCAGCAAATCTGGCTGTGACGGTTCCACCTGAAGACGGAAGCTTGTGTTGCCTCCGAAACGTCGTGATTTTTATTTTATTTTACTTTTATTAATTTTAATGTTTTACCTACACAGTGACTTTACCGAAAAAACCTAAGAATACTAACCCTAAGCCTAACGCGCTCGTTACCCTGGTACAGCACTGACCTGTTGCCGTGTGTTGGAAAGTAAATTCTCCGCCACATTTACAACGCGGGTCTCGCGATCTTTCGCCGAGGGGACAACAACCGCCGTCACGGGCGATAGCCACGATTGTAAAGAAATTGTCCTTCGGTCTTCAAGAGGGGATTGGCCACATTCTATTTAAGCGACACTCTAAACCAGCGGTCGGGAACCTATGGCTCGCGAGCCATATATGGCTCTTCCAGTGACGACATATGGCTCCCAGGCAATTTTGAGTTGAAAAAAGAAAAAAAAATCAGTTTGGAACTGATTTTAAAATACTTGTGATATTTGCTTAATAATAGTGTGTCATTTTAAAGTAAAACAGAAATTAGTTTTGAAGATAAATTTCACGGGCCGCGCCCTGCACGAAGCTCAACCTCACCACGTATAACCAGACTACAAGGCCATCAGCAAAACTATGCAGCACCAGACGTCGCATTAAAAGTAAGACATTTTTAATTTATCATACGTTAAAAATACTATATGGCTCTCAATGAAATATATATAGAAATATTTGGCTTTTATGGCTCTCCCAGTCAAAAAGGTTCCCGACCCCTGCTCTAAACCAAACTGAATTGGCCGTGTCGGATGGTGGCGGGTAGACACCGCAGCATTCACGTTGATGCGATCTAACACAAAACCTTGATGATGAGCAAGCACCTTGTGAGACACAAGACACGGCTTCATACCTGGGGACTGCCTGGGCCACACTTGGGCAGGGTGACCAACCCCAACTTGAAGGGGTCACCGTCGAACAGAGACGGTCACCCCGTTGGGTGCTTTCAGGACACATCACACTACGCACCGCACACTACTACACTACTGTAGTGTGTAGTACACTACGCACTGCACACTACTACGCTACTGTAGTGTGTAGTACACTACGCACCGCACACTGCCACGCTACTGTAGTGTGTAGTACACTACGTACCGCACACTGATACGCTACTGTAGTGTGTAGTACACTATGCACCGCACACTACTACGCTACTGTAGTGTGTAGTACACTACGCACCGCACACTGCCACGCTACTCTAGTGACGTAGAACGGCTCGCTACGGCGCCTGCCTAGCGCCCGTCGCTCAAACCCCGCCCGTCACCGGCAGAGGCTCGAAGCCGCCTCTGACCCGGGCGACGATCTCCTTACCCGACGAGCCAAAGGGACCAGCCCGTCCTCCGTGCACTCTGACCTGGGCGACGATCTCCTTACCTGCCCGAGCCAAAGGGACCAGCCCGTCCTCCGTGCACTCTGACCCGGGCGACGATCTCCTTACCCGCCCCGAGCCAAAGGGACCAGCCCGTCCTCCGTGCACTCTCACCCGGGCGACGATCTCCTTACCTGCCCGAGCCAAAGGGACCAGCCCGTCCTCCGTGCACGGCGCCTTGCGCTTGCGCTTCGCCTGGAACTGGTTGCCGGTACTCGGCGATCGCCAGCCGCGCGCCGTCCACCACGAGCTTCGCGAAGTGCGGCTGCTGCCGGCAGACGTGGCGCTGTGCGGGGGACAGCCCCGGGGCCACGCTGCACAGCAGCAGCGGACGCTGCGAGGGGTCCACTGCCGGGGGGACCCACATTGCCAGCGACCTGCAGAGGAGGGGTGGGAGGTGGGGGGGGGTCACGGTGGCTAGGAGATGTTGACTACCTCGCCTGGTACGCAGGAGGTTGTGGGTTCGATCCAAACCCTGACGATGCCTGCTGCTGCTGCTGTATATTTGGAGTCTGTGTGTCTCTCTCTCATCATCGTCACGGTGGCTAGGGGATGTTAACTCTCTTGTCTGGTACGCAGGAAGTCGTGGGTTCTATCCAGACCCTGATACCTGCTGTATATTTGGAGTCTGTGTGTCTTTCTCTCTCATCATCACGGTGGCTAGGGGATGTTGACTACCTCGCCTGGTACACAGGAGGTCGTGGGTTCGATCTAAACCCTGACGCCTGCTGCTGTATATTTGGAGTTTGTGGTGTCTCTCTCATCATCACGGTGGCTAGGAGATGTTAACTACCTCGCCTGGTACGCAGGAGGTCGTGGGTTCTATCCAAACCCTGATGCCGGGCTGCTGTATATTTGGAGTTTGCGCGTCTCTCTCTCTCTCATCATCACGGTGGCTAGGGGATGTTGACTACCTCGCCTGGTACGCAGGAGGTCGTGGGTTCGATCCCAACCCTGCCGCCTGCTGCTGCTGTATATTTGGAGTTTGCGTCTCTCTCTCATCATCGTGGTGGCTAGATACATTTTTAATGACATTTATACATTTACGCGATCTAACCCCCCCCCGCAAAAAAACTCTTGTGGATGATATTGGTCACGAAAGCCCTGCCCGCTACCAGGTGTACGGGGGGCGTGTGTGTGCAAGACGTTAGGTAAGGTTGCTCATAAATAAATAAACTCAGAAACGTGTCGCGCTCATCGCAGCAGCGGAGGAGTGACGAGGAAGACAGCGGCGTTCTCACGGCCAGCGACTCTGTGCAGAAGAGAACGAGCGGGGGTGACGATGTCAAACACCTCGCACGGTACGCAAGAGTCGTGGGTTCCATCCCGACGATGCCCGCTGCTGCTGCTGTATATTGTGAGTTGTCATGTCTCACTCATCATCGTCGTCATCATCACGGTGGCTGGGAGATGTTAACTTCCTCGCCTGGTACGAGGGATCGAACCCACGAGCGCTTGTGTACCGGGCGAGGGAGTCAACATCTCACCACCGTGGTCGTGATGAACTCCGACTGCTGATGTCTGTAGCCGACCGACCTTATAACCAGATGAATCCCTGCAGTCACGAAAGCTTTAAATAAACAATTCTCAATTTAAATTTACGCATTTTGATGTCACGTCACATTTCTCAACCCCAACCCCACCGTCACAAATGTCTGACCCCCCCCCAGGTGCGTGACGTCATTTATGGACGGCCCCAAAGACCCCGCGCCACAACCAAGAGCAGAACATGTGTGGAGATAATTCAGTGACGAAAACATGTTTTATTGTTGTCCCTGGGTAGTAAAGTGTCATTACCTAATACCCACTCCACTAACAACAGTGTGACAACAACATTGACCCTTAGTGGTAGAGTGTTATGCCTAATAGCTAGTGCCTCACAAGTAGAGAAAGGGGCTCTTAATACTCCACACAAACTTTGTATTTGTGACCCAGCACACACAAGCTGAGTGAACAATCCACTCCATTAACAACAGTGTGACAATAACATTGACCCTGAGTGGTAGAGTGTTACTGCTAGTAGCTAGTGACTCACAAGTAGAGAAAGTGGGATAAGCTCCACAAATTCTAGATTTGAAGCTTTCGTGACTATAAATTCATACTCTGAGGTTAAAATCACGTAGGTAGAAATAAATACTAAAATAAATTTGAAATAAATAAAAATTAAATAAATTCTCCCCAAAAACTTTGCTTCTGTGACCCAGGACATTGATATTTACACATTTAACAATTTTAAATAAAAAAAGACGCGGCGTGCATTTGTCTCATCCCATCACGTAAAGTCCTGCTCACAAAAGCAAAGTTTGTACGGAATAATAATAATATCCATTAAATCTAATGTGTAGGCAATTTAACAACAACACGCAGCAACACTTCACTACGCAAGGCCAGACCTCGCGTCAGCTCGTGTGTTCTCGTTGTTGTTGAACCAATAAATATAGTTTAGATATGCAAGGAGACCCATGCACTGTATAGGTAAACCCACTAAAATAAACTCCTTTAAAAAAATAGTACAAACATTTTTAAAATTTAATTTTTTGAATACAATTTTTTTAAATACATTTTTTATTATTTTTTTTACATTTTTATTGAAAGGTGGAAGTGGACGACGTTTCGACCACGAGCCTTGAGCGCGACACACACACAGAGAGGAATGAAGTTGAATAATAAAACTTGTAGTTTCGATACTTGAGCTCCACGCTCACCGCGTGTTGACAAGTTCCCGCGGCAGTGGCGCCTGCTTCGTGCGCGAGGCGATTCCAGAGTCTAGGGACCGCGGCGTTCTTGATTCTCGCAAAGCAATATTTAAATAATAAGACGTCCATTAAAAAAATGTCATTGCTTTAAAGAGACGCTCAATTGATTGATGCCGATTTTTATTGATTGCTTATTAATTAATCTTTAATGTACTTATTTTTTTTTCGAGTGATGTTCACAAACGGAGGCAGGCGCGCCTGAGACGCGCGGCGCCTGATTGGTGTGCGAGCCGATTCCACAATTTAGGGACCGCGGCGTTTTCACCTTGCACAACAATTAACACGCCAATTTTAACACAGTGTGCAAAATGTTTAATTGATTAGACACCAGGAAGTAGACTAAACATTTTATTACAAGATATTGGCCACGACACTACAAAGGAATATCACGTGAAGTGAAAGCGTTGAAAATATAAAGGGGCAGAAATTATTCCATCGAGAAACAACATTTTTATTCAAACCCTGTACACATGCGACGTTGAGCCAATTTGGTAAACAGGTGTTCACACACAGCGTGGTAAACATAGGTGTACACACACAGACACCCAAAGACCCATAGAGACCCACAGAGACACACAGAGACCCATAGAGACCCATAAAGACCCACAGAGACACACAGAGACCCACAGAGACACACAGAGACACACAGAGACCACAGAGACCCATAAAGACCCACAGAGACACACAGAGACACACAGAGACCCACAGAGACACACAGAGACACACAGAGACACACAGAGACACACAGAGACCCACAGAGACCCATAAAGACCCACAGAGACACACAGAGACCCACGAGACACAGAACCCATAGAGACCCACAGAGACACACAGAGACCCATAAAGACCCACAGAGACACACGAGACCCACAGAGACACACAGACCCATAGAGACCCACAAAGACCCACAGACACGCATAGAGACTCACAGAGACACACATACACCCATAGAGACTCACAGAGACCCACAGACACCCATAGAGACTCACAAAGACACCATACACCCATAGAGACACACAGACACACACATACACCTATAGAGACTCACAGAGACACACAGAGACTCACAGAGACCCATAGAGACCCACAGAGACCCACAGAGACACACAGAGACCCATAGAGACCCACAGAGACACACAGAGACCCACAGAGACACACAGAGACCCATAGAGACCCACAGAGACACACAGAGACCCATAAGACCCACAGAGACACACAGAGACCCACAGAGACACACAGAGACCCATAGAGACCCACAGAGACACACAGAGACCCATAAAGACCCACAGAGACACACAGAGACCCACAGAGACACACAGAGACCCATAGAGACCCACAAGACCCACAGACACCCATAGAGACTCACAGAGACACACATACACCCATAGAGACTCACAGAGACCCACAGATACCCATAGAGACTCACAGAGACACACATACACCCATAGAGACACACAGACACACACAGACACCTAGAGACTCACAGAGACACACAGAGACACAGAGACCCACAGAGACACACAGAGACCCATAGAGACCCACAAAGACCCACAGACACCCATAGAGACTCACAGAGACACACATACACCCATAGAGACTCACAGAGACCCACAGACACCCATAAACTCACAGAGACACACACAGACACCCACGGAGGCACACAGACACACACCTGCTGGGTCTGTCACGTGACCTCCTCCTCATGCACCTAGCCTGGCACAGCAGTACAACCCATGGCACCT